TGCAGGAGTTGTCCCCTGGTGATCATTGTGCTCCCACAGCCAACCTCTCGTGGCCAACCAACCTCCCACAGTCCCTTTTCCCTGGTGAGTTGGCCCCAATTGCTGGCCAGGCTGAGGGATCCCCACCTGTGCACAAATTCATGCACTGGGCCTTTAGTGTTGAATAAGACTGGTGAAAGTTGACATCCTGCCTTGTTCCCAATCTTAAGGGGAATGCTTATAGTTTTTGCCCATTTAATATGATGTTGGCTGTGGGTTTGTCATACATGGCTTTTATTAAATTGAGCTATGTTCCTTCTATTTCCACTTAGCTGAGATTTTTTTTCATAAATGGATGCTGGGTTTTATCAACTGCTTTTTATGCATCTATTGATATGATTATGTGCTTTTAATCCCTCAGTTTGTTTATGTGGTGCATCATGTTTATTGTTTTGTGGCTATTGTACCAACCTTGCATCTCTGGAATAAATCCCACTTGATCATGATGTATTTGGTTTACTAATACCTTGTTGAGGATTGTAATATCTGTGTTCATCACAGATATTGGCCTATAATTTTCTTTCTTTGTTATACCTTTATATGATTTTGGAATTAGGGTAATGCTGGCCTTTTCCCTCATCTTGAATTTTTTGGGTTATCTTGAGAAAGATTCTTCTTTGAATGTTTGGTAAAATTAATATGTAAAGCCATCAGGGCTTTTATTTGTTGGGGAATTTTTGACTAGTGATTGAATTTCATTAGTTGTATTCTGCCTGTTAGATTCTCCTGATTTAGTTTTGGAATGTTGTATGCTTTTAGGAACTTATCCATTTCTCTCAGGTTGTCCATTTTGTTGGCATATAGTTGTTCATAATACTTTTTTTTTTTTTTTACAATCCTTTGTATTTCTTTGGTGTCAGTTGTTTTTTATCCTTTTTAATTGCTCTCTTTTTGTTTCTTGATAAATTTGGTTAAAAGTTTGTCAATCTTGTTTATCTTTTCAAAGAACCAGCTCTTAGTCTCATTCATCTTTTGTATTGTTAGACTCTACTTATTTATTATTTCATTCCTTCTACTCACTCTGGGCTTTGTTTGTTGTACTTTTCCAAGTTTCTTTAAGTGTTTATTTGAGCTCTCCCCCCTCCCCCTTGTAATGCTATAGGCTTTCCTCATAGGACTGCTTTTCCTCTGCCCCACAGATTTGTAGTTGTTGTGTTCTCATTTTAATTTGTTTCAAGGTACCTTTTGATTTTTCCTCAATCCCTTTGCTAAACAAATCATTGTTTAGTAACATGTTGTTGTTTTTTGTCCATGTCTTTGTGTGTGTTTTTTTTAAATTTTCTTCTAGTGATTCATTTTAAGTTTCATAGCATTATAGTCATAGAAGATGCTTGATATAATTTCAGTCTTTTTAAGTTTATGGAGACTTGTTTATTGTCCTAACATGTGGTCTATCCTAGAAAATGTTACATATCCACTTGAACAAAATGTATATTCGCTTCTTTGGTGTGAAATGCTCTGAAGATATCAATTAAGTCCTTATTTCTGTGTCATTTAATGCCTCCATGTCTTTATTGATTTTCTGTCAGGAAGATCTATCAATTGATGTCAATGGGATATTAAAATCTCTACTATGACTATATTACTGTCAATCTATCTTTTTATGTCCATCAAGACTTGCTTTCTATATTTAGGTGTTCCTATGTTGGGTGCATAAATGTTTACAAGGGTAATGATTCCTTTGTCATTATATTATACTAGAGGCCCAGTGCACAAATGCATGCACAGGGGGGATCAGGTCAGCCTGGTCCCAATTTGGGGGGATCAGAGCTCGGCCTGTTGGGAGGAGGAGATTGCAGGTGGTTGGCTGGCTGGCCTGCCCCAATCGGTACCTGATCATGGTGGGCCGGCTGGGAGAAGGGGCTGAGGGTGATTGGCTGGCAGGCCCTGCCTCTGATTGGGGTTAGGGGGCTGATTTGTGGTGGGGCCAGCCATGGGGAGAGACTTTGGGCAGTGGGCTAGCTGGCCCCACTCCTGAATGGGGTGGGCGGTGGTGATTGGGGGCCATGGCCTGGGAGGGGCTGCAGGAGGTTGGTGGGCCAGCCCCGCCCCCCATAGGGGTGGGGGAGTGATCAGGGTTGGAGCCTATCCCCTGATTGGCAGGTTCACTGGCCACAGTGGGCATCAGGGCGACTGGTCGTTATGGTTGTTACAGTCAATGGTTTTTTTTATATATAAATTAGAGGCTTGGTGCATGAAATTCGTGCAACGTGGGTGTGTGTCCCTCAACCCAGCCTGCACCCTCTCCAATATGGGACACCTCAAGGGATGTCCAACTGCCCTCTCACAATCCAGGACTGCTGATTTCCAACTACTCACTTGCCTGCCTTCCTGATTGCCCCTAACCGCTTCTGCCTGCCAGCCTGATCACCACCTAACCATTCCCCTGACAGCCTTATTGATGCCTAACTGCTCCCCTACCAGCCTGATTGCCCCTAAGTGCCCTCCCCTGTAGGCCTGGTCACCCCTAACTGCCCTCCGCTGAAGGCCTGGTCCCCTCAACTGCTCTCTTCTGCAGGCCTGGATCCTCCCAGCTGCCCTTCTCTGCAGGCCCTGTCATCCCCAACTTTCCTCCTCTGCTGGCCTGGTCATCCCTAACTGGCCTCCTCTTCAGGCTTGATAGCCCCCAACTGCCCTTCCTTGCAGGCCTGGTGCCTCCCAACTGCCCTCCCCTGCTGGCCTGATAACTCACAACTGCCCTCCCTTGCAGGTCCCTCCCAAATGCCCTCCTCTCCTGGCCATCTTCTGGTGGCCATCTTGTATGTTGGAGTGATGATTGATTTGTATATTACTCTTTTATTAGATAGGATCAAGGCCTGGTGCACGGGTTGGGGCTAGCTGATTTGCCCTGAAAGGTGTCTCGGAACAGGGTGGGAGTTCCCTTGGGGTGTGGGGCGGCCTGGATGAGGGCCCTATGGTGGTTTGCAGGCCAGCCATGCCTCCCGGTGATCCAAGTGGCAGCCCTGATATCTTGGGTTTATTTATCTTCTATAATTGAAACTTTGTAGCCTTGAGTGAAGCCAAGCCTCCTGCTCACTCCATGGCTGCAGCCATTTTTGTAGGGATTTATTTATATTCTATAACTGAATCTTTGTAGTGGAGGCCAAGACAGGCCAGGGCTGTGGGAGCATGGCTTTCTCCATTGCTGGGGCCACCTTAAGCCTTCTGCTCTCTCCATCTCTGTGTCTGCTGCCATTTTTTGGGGGGATTTATTTATCTTCTATAATTGAAACTTCGTAGTTTTGAGAATAGGCCTGGGCCGGCAAGGGTGGCAGGGAAGCTTGGCTTTCTCCATTGCCAGGAAAACCCAAGGCTCCTGCTTGCTGCAGCCCCATGGCTACATCCATCTTAGTTGGGTTAATTTGCATACTCTCTCCTGATTGACTGGTGGGTGTGACTTGTGGGTGTAGCAGAGGTACAGTCAATTTTTATATTACTAATTTATTAGATAGGATACTTTTTGGCTCCAATATATCCTTGGTTTTAAAGTCTATTTTGTCAGATATAAGTATTGCTACCCCAGCTTTCTTTTTCTTTCCATTTGCATGAAATATCTCTTTCCATCCTTTTACTTTTAATCGGTGTGTACCTTTTGCTCTGAGGTGGGTCTCTTGAAGACAGCATACTTATGGATTTTGTTTTCTTATCCCTTCAGCTATCTTATGTATATTTGATTTGGAGTATTTAAGCCATTTACATTTAAAGTTGTTATTGTTGGGTATGTATTTATGGCCATTTTATTTTTAAAACTATATTCCTTTATTACTTCGTCATCTTTTTAAAAAAAATTCTCAGCTGAGGATATTTTTCCATTTATTTTTAGAAAGAATGGAAGAGAAAGAGAAAGACAGAGAGAAATATTGATGTGAGAGAAACATTAATTGGTTGCCTCCTCCATGTGCCCTGACCAGGACCTGGACTGGGGAGGAACCTGCAACTGAAGCACATGCCCTTGGCTAGGATCGAACTTGGGATCCTTCAGTCCACAGGCCTATGCTCTATTCACTGAGCCAAACTGGCTATGACTTTTCCTTCTTCTTAAAGCAAGTCTTGAAGCATTTCCTGTACTGCTAATTTACAAATAAGTTTAGTTTTTTCTTTTGTAGGAAGCTCTTTATTTCTCCTTTAATTTTAAATGATAGCCTTGCTGGGTAATGTAGCATTGACTGAAGGTCCTTGTCTTTTCATCACTGAATATTTCATGCCAGTCCCTTTTGACCTTAAATTTCTGTTGACAAATCAGTTGACAGTCTTATGGGAACTGCTTGCCTTTCTGTTGTGGCTTTTACGATATTCTCTTTGTCTTTAATTTTTGACATTTTAATTATGATGTGTCTTGGTGTGGGCCTCTTTGGGTGGTGTTGGGGTGAAAGGATTGAGAAAAAAAAAAAAAGAACTCATGGACAACATTGTGGTGATATGGACTAGAAGCAGAAGAGGACATGGAGGAGATAAATGGTGATGGGAAAAAATAAATTAAATGTAATACAAATAAAGATTAAAAACAAATATTACATGCATACATAAAGAAAGAGTACATTTTAAATTATATATGTTTAATTTTTAATCATTAGGTAAGTATAGGTAGTATTAAAATCATACACTCCAATTTTAAGTATTTAATGTGTTGGGAAAATTCCTTCTGGGTTAATACTAGATTGATTAAAATATGTTATTCAAAAATAATAGCAATATATTATTAAAATAATAAAATATATTATTGAAAAATAGCAATATAGCCTTCTTCTTTGACTCTCTCCCCTCACTTCCTGAATTTAAAATAGGTAAAGATGTAGAAAATAGATATTTTAAAAAGTCTTTTATAAGTACTTGAGCCTACTTGATTTTCTTATATCCTTTAAGTAGTTAAGTAACTTGTTATTGGGTTTGTTTGCATGTATATGGAATTAAGATAGAAACATCAAGCACTAAATGTATTTTTCTTAATTTTTTAAAAATAGCTAATACACAGTTCCTGCCGAATGCTTCACTTTTTGACTAGAAGTAAACGATTTTTAGCAGCCAGTCTGTTCACTTTCAAAACCCAGCATGTTTCTTTGAGATTAGCCTGGATTTTACAGAATCTCGTTGAGGTAAGAAAAGAGTTGTGTGTTTGTGTGTGTGTGCGTGTGTGTGTACATGCACGCACTTATTAATGCATGAAACTTTGGGGTAGATTCAAGGAATAAGGATAGTAATTTGATTATTTGAGGGAAAATTAAGTACCCATAACATATTGGTATGGAAGACAAGGTATGAGTTGTTAAGTGCCCGTAACATATTGGTATGAGTTTATTTTGTAAACATTTTTATTTTGAGTTATAGCACATATAGAAAAGTGAACAAAACATAAACGTACAATTTGGTGATATACTTACTGTAGAGCAAATATCTGTAATGCTACCATGTTTCCCCGAAAATAAGACATCCTCCAAAATAAGACCTAATATAAGACACTGTCTTATTTTCGGGGAAACAGGGTACTTGATTGCAGAACTAGAACAATGTAAAACTACGTATTGCATTTCTTTCTACTTTTACAGCTTAGTTTTTTTTTTTCTTCAACAGCATAGTTTAATTTTGCTGAAAAAATTTTGAACTTTGAATAATGGAATCATACAGTGTTTATTCTTTTGTATTTTACTCCTTTTGTTGAACATTATATCTGTGAAATATATGTTTGTTGTATATAAATTAATATCCTTATATTTCTATTGCTATTTAGTGTTTAATATATGACTTTACCATAATTTATTCATCTATTGTGTTCATGTACATTTGAGTTATTTCTAGTTTGGGGCTGTAATGAATAATGCTACCTCTTGATGTATATGTAAATATATTTCTGTTGTATCTACATATAGGAATGGAATTTTTAGCACGCACACACACACACACACACACACACACACTCACTGAGTGGCGAGATTATTATGATCTCTGAATGCATAATAATCTGGCCACTCTGTATATATATAATAATTTAAATTATATTTTAAATTGTTTTCCATAGACAGATAAGACTAATTTTTACGGTGTGATTTTGAAGAACTCAAATTTGGTACTGCCAATCAAAACACAAATTGAGGTGTATATCATGTCATTTAAAAAGGTATTTTCATATTTCTTGTACTAAATTTTACTCTGTATATTCAGCAGTTGCTGCATAATTATTGCTTCCATTGCAACTAAGGATTATTCAACCTGAGGAAAACAACTGAAGGCTAGTTGCATGGAAGTATTATAACCTAGGATCTATTGAAGAAACCACATTGAGACTGGTAATAAGGGCAGAGATGATGAAAGAGCTGGCCTCACACCCACTTGTAGCAGTTGAGAATCTGGAGGGATATCTCACTGCAAAGGTCCCCCTGAGTAACAAGGGGTTCCAATACAGAGCACTAAGGCCAGGAAAAGACTTCTGCATAACATCTGGTCATGAAAATCAGTGGGGATTTGCCTGCTTGGGAGAGATGGGAGTCGGCTAGAAAGAAACATAGGCATTCTCTTCAAGGTCTTTTTCTCACTCAGAACTCCAGTAGAAAAAAGGTGACTCAGGGCATACAGGAGTCATAAAGAGGAGATCTAGTGTCATGGTTTCGAGGAGTGATCTGTGCTGAGTCCCTATCCCATACTGCCCTCAGACACTATCTTTTCAAGGTAGAGTATTCCAATCCTTATAGCACCAGCCTTGGGAGTGCACTAGCTCAGTCCTCCAACTCCTGGTGGCACCATTCTGCCAAGCTTAAGTCCTGCAGAAACATCTGGCTGCATTCAACTGGGACCTTTAGTGCACTCTTTTACTTGAGAAGCTCTTGGCAGAGACTCAGACAAACATTAATATTTATAACTCTAAAGTAGGAACCATCCATACCCTTCATTGTGCTGCCAGTGCCCTTCCTGTTCACTTGTCCTGCCTGATTCCCAGTGACCCTGCCCTATTGAGCTTGAGTCTTGCAGAAGGCTTAGTTGGCTATACCAGCCTGAACCAGCAGTGTACTCTTTTTGAGGGAACTAGGGTCAGAGACTCAGTTGGAGTATGGTATGTGTTCTGGAGTAGGGGCCACTTTCCCCCCACTGAGTGCCTGATCGTGCTGTCTCCAAGCAAGAGAACCACTTGCCCTGTTCTCTTGACTTTGATCACCCCACTCTATCGAGCCCACACCTTGTGGAATAGACGGTGGAAATCAATCTTTGTACACACCTTGACCCCTCCCATACAACACCCAGGCCCGGTAGAGGCAGTCACTAATAGTGAATTGTTTGGTAGCTCCAGACAAGTAGCTCAAAGCCAGTTGCAGCATTTGATATCAACCTGCACCAGAACCCCTCCCAAGTGTACCCAGAACCAACACAACCAGTGGTTGGCTTCAGACCACGCCAGAACACAACCCAACTAGCCACACAAGTGGCACACCCAAGGGTAGATCCTGGAAGGCACCAGATCTTGCTGCGGACAACTGAACCTTGAGCACATAGAAGCTCATACAGTGTGGTGAGGGTCAATCCTAATAATCAGACAGCATGTGACTTAACATCATTAGTGAATGGACTAACAGCATTCAAGACTCAGTCACAGCAGGAAGGCTCAGTAAGCCACACAAGAGACATTCCTGGAGTTCCTACATGATCTGGAAGATAGTACACTGAGCCCACAAGACACTTACAACAAAAACCACCATAAAAAGTTTGGGAGTCTGCCAAATACATAGAGACAAACACAAACTGGCAGGCAAAATGTGGAGACAAAGAAACGTGCCCCAAATAAAATAACAAGGGAATCCTTAGAAAAAGATTTAAATGTAAACAACCAAGATACCAAATGCAGAATTCAGAACAATGGTTATTAGAATACTCAATGAATTTAGGGGAAGAGTAGATTATCTCAATGAGAACTTTAAGTTAGTAAGGTAGTAAGCATTAAAAAAGGCATAGAATGCATAAAAGAAACCAGTCAGAAATGAAGAATACAATAACTGAAATAAATAACACACTAGAAGGAATCATTAGCAGAGGATCCAATCAGTGATTTAGTGGACAAGATAACAAAATACCCAATCAGAGCAACAAAAAGAAAGAAGAATTTTAAAATATAAGGAAAGTCTAAGAGACCTTTGAGACAACAAAAAACATAGCAATGCGTCCATCATTAGGGTACCAGAAAGAGAAGAGAATGAGCAAGGAATTGAGAACATATTTGAAGAAACAATGGTTGAAAGCTTCCCTAATCTGGTGAAGGAAAAAGACCTGTCCAGGAAGCACAGAGAGGCCCAATCAAAATGAACCCAAGACACATCATAATTAAAATGGCAAGAGTTAAAGGCAAAAAGAATCTTAACACCATAGAATGACAGTTCCCTACAAAGGAATTTCCATAAGGCTGTCAGCTGATTTCTCAACAAAACATTTTAGGCAAAACTTTTTAGCATGAAATATCCAAAGTGATTAACAGCAAGGACCTACAACCAAGATTACTTTACCCAGCAAGGCTAACATTTGAAATTGAAGGTGAAATAAAGAGCTTCCAAGATCAATCCCCTCTCCCCAAAATATAAAGGAGCTTATTACCACTAAAACCAGAATTGTAAGAAACATTAAAGGATCTTCTTTAAGAAGAAAGGGGAAAAAAGGAATATGGTTATAAAGAATAAAATAGAAATAAATATGTACTTATCAGTAATTACTTTAAATGTAAATAGATTAAATTCTCCCATTAAAAGACATATGGTAGTAAAATGGTAAAGAAAACAGGACCCATATATATGCTGACTACAGGACACCCACCTCAAATGAAAGATACAGATTGTAACTAAAGAGATAAAAAGAGATATTTTATACCAATGAAATAGAAAAGCTGGGATAACAATACTTATAGCAGACAAAACAGACTTAAAAAAAAAAGACTAGACTAAGAAACAAAGAAGGAAACTACATAATGATAAAGGGATCAATCCATCAAGAAGATATAATCCTTATAAACATTTATGCACTCAACATAGGAGTACCTAAATAGGTAAAGCAAATCTTGACGGACAAAAAGGAAGAGATTGACATAAATACAATTATATAAGGATTTTAACACCCCATTGATATCAATGGATAGATTGTTCAGATAAATCAAAAAGGAAATAGCAGGCTTAAATGACACACCAGCTCGGCCAATGTGTCTCAGTAGTTGACCACCAACCTGTGAACCAGGAGTTCACAGTTCAATTCCCGGTCATGGCACATGCCTGGGTAGAGAACTGGCAGAGAGTGGCCAACTAATGATTCTCTTATTGATGTTTCTATCACTCCCTCTCCCTTCTTCTTTCTGAAGTCAATTTAAAAAATGGCACACTAGAATAGAAGGATTTAATTGACATCTTTAGAACATTTCACCTCAAGTCAGCAGAATATATTTTCTTTGCTGGTGGACATGAAACAGCTTTTGTGATAAAACACATAGTAACACTTCAGACAAGTCTCAATAAATTCAACAAGATTGAAATCATATTAAGCATCTTCTCCGATCATAATGCTATGAAACTAGAAACCAATCACAAGAAGAAAAAAAACACTCTGAAAAACACTGGTAAACACATAGGGGCTAAATAACATGTTACTAAACAATGAATAGGTTAAGAATTTCAAGAAAGAAATGTAAAGAAATCTTGAAACAAATTAAAATGAAAACACAACAGCCCAAAATTGCTGGGACACAGCCATAATTGTTCTAAAAGGGAAATTCATAGCATTCAAGATTACCTCAAGAATCAAGAAAAATCTCAAATAAACAATCTAACCTTGAACCTAAAGGAACTAGAAAAAGAACAACAAACAAAGGCCAAAATCAGTAGAAGGAGGAAAAATAATAAAGATCAGGGTGGAAAAAAAATGAAACAAGTTTTTAAAAAAGCAAATACTAGAAAGATCAATGAAACCAAGAGTTGGTCTTTGGAAAGATAAACAAGTCTGATAAATCTTTAACCAGACTCATCAAGAATCAAAGAGAAAGGACCCAAATAATACCAGTAAAATCAGAAATGAAACAGGAGAACTAATAGCACAGAAATACAAGGGACTATAAGAAAATATTGCGCTGACCAGGAAT